CAGGTTCCACAAGAGTTGTGCGAGGGGCCACGTGGGCTTTTCCAAAGGTATAGAAACATCTAAAACTTATTCACACAGGATAGCAATTTTCTTCTGAGCACTCTTTTTTTAAAAAAATATTTTTTCTCTTAGTAAAATCATTTTATTATACCATGCCTCCCTCTTTTTATTTTAAAAAATAAATTTAAAAAACCCAGTTTTGCATATCTAGCGTTAGCATTTAAGGTAGTATGGCACACCCTCTTTATAAAAGTCGAAGGGTGGGGATCTACAAAATGCTGCAGGAGCATCGCCAGCATTTGCTTTCAAATGTTGTGTCAGGAGGTCCAGCAGTGGGGCCAGGACATTAGAAGCCCTCCCACTGTTGACCCCCCCCCCAAGCACCAAGAAGACAGAGCATCACTTGCCCCAGAGCCCCTAGCTATACCTTGTGGCTAATAGCCACTGATGGACCTCTGCTCCATATGCTTATCTAATTCCCTTTTGAAGCCGTCCATGCTTGTAGCACCCACCACTTCCTGTGGCAGTGAATTCCATGTGTTAATCACTCTTTGGGTGAAGAAGTACTTCCTTTTATCCGTTCTAACCCGACCGCTCTGCAGTTTCATGGAGTGCCCACGAGTTCTTGTATTGTGAGAAAGGGAGAAAAGTACCTCTTTCTTTACCTGCTCTTTCCCATGCATAATCTTATAAACCTCGATCATGTCACCCCTCAGTCGTCTTTTCTCCAAGCTAAAGAGCCCTAAGCGCTTTAACCTTTCCTCATAGGGAAAGTGTTCCAACCCTTTTATCATTCGAGTTGCCCTTTTCTGCACTTTTTCCAAAGCTATAATATCCTTTTTAAGGTGTGGTGCCCAGAACTGCACACAGTATTCCAAATGAGGTCTCACCATTGATTTATATAGGGGCATTATTATATTGGCTGATCTGTTTTCAATACCCTTCCTAATAATCCCCAGCATAGCATTGGCCTTCTTTATTGCAGTCACACACTGTCTCGACATTTTCAGTGAGTTATCCACTACAACTCCAAGATCTCTCTCTTGCTCAGTCTCTGCCAGTTCAGACCCCATCAATGTGTATTTATATTTAGGATTTTTGGCTCCAATGTGCATCACCTTGCACTTGGCCACATTGAACCCCATTTGCCATGTTGACGCCCACTCGCCCATCCTTGACAGATCCCCTTGGAGTGCCTCACAATCCTCACTGGTTTTCACCACCCTGAACAACTTTGTATCATCCGCAAATTTAGCCACTTCACTGCTTACTCCCATCTCCAAATCATTAATGAACAAGTTAAAAAGCAGTGGACCAAGTACTGATCCCTGCGGTACCCCACTGCTTACCACCCTCCACTGAGAAAATTGCCCACCTACACTCACTCTCTGTTTTCTATGAACTAGCCAGTTTTTGATCCATAAAAGGACTTGTCCTTCTATCCCATGATTTTTGAGCTTACTTAGGAGCCTTTGATGAGGAACTTTATCAAAAGCTTTCTGGAAGTCAAGGTAAATAATATCTATTGGATCCCCCTTGTCCACATGTTTGTTCACCCCCTCAAAGAACACTAACAGGTTAGTGAGACAAGATCTTCCCTTACAGAAACCATGCTGAGTCTGCCTCAATAGGTTTTGTTCATCTATGTGCCTACTAATTCTTTCCTTAATAATGGTTTCCACCAATTTACCCGGTATCGACGTCAGACTGACTGGCCTGTAATTTCCCGGATCTCCTCTGGAACCCTTTTTAAAGATGGGAGTGACATTAGCTACCTTCCAATCCTCAGGAATGGAGGCAGATTTTAAGGAAAGATTACATATCTTTGTCAGGAGATCTACAAGTTCACATTTGAGTTCTTTCAGAACTCTCGGATGTATGCCATCTGGGCCTGGTGATTTTTCAGTTTTTAAGTTGTCTATCAGTTTTAGGACCTCCTCTCTCGTAACCTCAATCTGACTCAGGTCTTTCAACACCCCTCCTGAAATCAGTGGTTCTGGAGTGGGCAAGCACTTCTCATCTTCCACAGTGAAGACGGAGGCAAAAAATGCATTTAGCTTCTCAGCCATTTCCCTATCATCCTTCAATACTCCTTTTACCCCTTGGTCGTCCAAGGGCCCCACTGCCTCCCTGGCTGGTTTCCTGTTTCTAATGTATTTGAAGAAAGTTTTATTGTTGGTTTTTACGTTTTTTGCGTTTTTTGGGGATCTACAAAATGCTGCAGGAGCATCGCCAGCATTTGCTTTCAAATGTTGTGAGACCTTTTTGGTTAGTGGAAACCACACGAGATCAGCAGAAAGGAAAACAAACAAAGATTAAATTAAATTATTTTTTTAAAAAAAACCCTGCCTGAAATTATTAGCATTTCTTTTTGTCTTAAATAAGAGAAAGTTCTATCCTTACTGGTCCTAAATCTGAATAACTACATCTATGTATTTAACCTTAATTACGATACGACTACCAATATGTACTAGAAGAGGAAGAAAAGAGAAGGGTGGGGGTGGGTGTCACTACACTTGCATCAGGACAGCACTCTTACAAGATAGTCATTTTATACATTATTAACATACAACAATGATCAACAAAGAATCTTCTATAAGGTGACAGGGAATGAATGAGGAGGAGGAGGAGGAACACATGGTAGTATACAGTACAGGCACAAATTTGCCCAGAACTTTCCCCCCTGGAAACACCATCAAAATCAATGGGAGCCTTTAAGAGCCCGTGGGGGGGGGGGCTCTCCGCCATCAGAAACGGGCTTCCACCAGACTGGTTTCTGGTGGTGGTACTCTGATGTCATCTACATTAATTAAAGAGTAATCAATAAATCCCCTGCTTTTTAAGAAATACACACGGTCTCTCAGGGGATTTTAGTTTGCAGTTAATTTATATTAAAGAACTGTGGGTTTGTTGCTGGTTTTGGTTTGTTTTTTTGTCTTTTCATGTATTACTTGATCAAATCTCAACTATTTTCAAAAGCGTCCAGCATTCTGGCTTTTAAACCTGGTTGTTTTGAAATACGAAAATAAGAACCTAAAACATTAATATGGTAATCAACCCTCCCAATGATTTGCTTTGTTTATTTTGAAGACGAGGGCAACGAGGGCTCTCCCTCCTTCCGGGCAGCACGATGCAGGCGCCTCGGTGTGTGCGAACAGATGCCTTGCTCTAAATTGTCTATTGGATGCCTACGTTAGCCTACTCGGTAGTAAAGTTTACAAAAATAGGAGTGCAGCAGCGATTTTTTTCTCTCTCTTAACAAATGTCGCATTCAGTGTCTTATTCTGGCTGTACCTAGAGTACCAAATTTATAAACGTAACAATTTAAAAAAATATTAATAAAACTTGTCAATATTAATGTTAAAAAAAAGAATATATCCACACTATAGTTATGCTTGTAATATCACCTACTGTGTTGTACTTCGAGTTGCTGTTGCCGGCCTATTGACCCATATTTTAAAAAATTAAATTAAAAAATATCCTTCATAAGTCTCCTCCCCAGCAGAGGACCATAGATATAACAGCCAAACATTAAACATGTGCAAATAGGAAATTGTCAGTTCTCCCTACCAGTCACAGTGCAATGATGTTTTATACATTTTTTTTCATTCCGTTTTCATCTACAATAAATTAAAATCTTCTCTTGCATCTAGGGTGATAACTTGTAGCACTGAGGTATTAAGAACAAAATTTTAAAAACCCCTTGCTTTCCCTAATTTGTTAATATAGGAAAGGATGGATACAAGGTGAGAGGATGCAAGCTTTAACAATGCCCCCCCCCCCACAGCTTGGGAGCACCCAAGACGATGCTCGGCCTGGCCAGTGCACTGCGGGGGATGCGGGGGTGGGGGCTGAAATGGCAGGACAGTCTGGTGATCTAAATAATGGCTAAAAACAAGTGTGCTTGAAACTTTAAATACCGTTTAAATATTAAAATCGTAGTTTTTCTCAGTCACGGGAAAAGCAGTTGTGTTTTTTTTAATTAAAACGTAACTAGACTGTTACTTGATAAGCTGTGCACAGATGTCTAGTTAAATATGCTGGTATGACGCTAGTACAGTTATAAGGTCTAACCCCTACAGAGCAAGCTAAACAGTGTTGATCTAACTGCTATGGGCCAGCTCCGGCAGTTGATCTTAAGGTTTAAAACGTTAGGGCACAACTCATCAGGAATTCTGCCTGTGCATGCGCTAGCACAAGACAACGGGAGCTGCGCAAGGGCCCAGCACAGGCGCATCTTCCGTTCCTCTCAAAGAAAAGGGAGAAGAGAAATCTCCTGCTGGATTATGCACCCCAAATCTTCATTATTTTCTGCCATTCAGTTCAGAAACTGCCTTAGTCTGACTCCATCACAAAAATATTATGCATTTCTCTCTCTCCTTTTGTTAATATTTCATACGTAAGTTAATGGAATCGTATTTACAGTATTTTTTCAGAATTCACAATTTCAAAAAACCTTATATCACCTCTTTTTCAACAAAAAATGCACTTATAGAAAAAGGACACAAAAAACTTTGTTGTCCTTACCTTATTGCCGAAAATAGATATAATTAGGTTAACTAAGAAAGAACTGCTAGAGACCCTGCTACTGAGCCAGCCTCCCATTCCCCATACAGCATAAAATAGAATATTTCTGCTCACTTGTGTTTGCTCTACTTCTAAGTTCAGCGTGTGCTAAATTCCACCTGAAAAGGCTTATTTCAGCTTCAGAATTGGTACCAATCAACTGAGAATTGTGTTACCATCTCAGCTTCCTTATTAAGCAACAAAATTACTTAAAATGACAGAAAAAAGGGGAAAAAATTAAAAAGCAAAGAAACCCTTAATATATAAACAGTTAGACTATGGTTAGGCTTTTCCTAGATACACAAAGTAACCTACATGACTACACGCCTATGTCAAAATACTACAAAAAAGCAATTAAAATAAATTTAAAAGGGGAAAAGAACCCATCAAGAAAAAATAAAATAAAATGAACAAATGGATTATATATACACATTTTTTTAAAAAGCTGTTGTTCTATATAGTACAGCAGGTTCATGAGATGATAGAGATTTTGGACAACCAAGTCCGCTGAGTGCCACCTCCAGTTTGTGTTGGTTATTTGGTGATGATGTAATGTTCAAAGTCTGATGATGTATCACCTAAACTTGGGACCATTCAGAAACTTCTCCCTGTCTTGCCTGGACATCCAGATATACTCTACAGTGGATAAAAAAGAAGAACAGATGAAAAGAAAATCATTGTACCCAGACCTTGAAGAAATGCATCCCTCCTAGTACTATAGGGTGTCTCCTTATGGGGTTTAGGTGGCAGCCATGTGGTTGCCCATGATGTTCCTTAGTTCAGAATGTGACAACCACACGCTTGCGGCAAAGGGTGAATGCATGTTGTACCCACCGGGGCTGTGTCTGCTGCCCGCTGTCCCAAGAGGCCAGATACTGCCGGGAGTGTGGCCTCACGTGGCAAATCTGACTCTGCTTCTGCTCCTCCCAGGGAGGAGGTGAGGAGTTTTACAGGGCACAAAAGCCCATCCCCCTCACCACTGGGGGTCTGATGCAATCAACTTTCTGAGATGTCCTCAGGCATTGCCTTCCAAGCACAAGGATCAGAACATTTTTTTTTAATACAAAGTTTAGTTTCTTAGAGAACCTCATTTGTATGTCTAGTGTCACATGTGGCGTTCTTTCCCCCCAGTTCAATGGAATTGTGGCATACATATACACAGCAGCCCTGGCTGTAATACTTGGGTTGGACCCAGACCAGACTGGCAATTTCCACCATGCCATTCCTCTTGTCATTCCTCAGGGTCTCTATCCCCCCCAGGAGCAGCATGTTATGGACATCAGGTGGGGGGGGAGGAGGGAAAGCTCCATCCTGCCATCCAATCTCCTAATGCAGAGCGGCAGGGATCATCCCCCAGTCTTAGGCAAGTAAGACTTCAGGGAACTTATGGCAGGAAAGCGCCACAGTGAGTTACCTTGTGGCTGATGCCCTGATTTTTAATTTGTGACTTATTATTTACTGTAACACACAGCAAGTCCCTTTGTGTTTTAAGCATGTTAACAAGGAAATAATTTATCCATTGTCTGGATAAACTGTTAAATCACAGAATGCCTCAGAAAGCAGACTTCTAAATAAACTCTTTGCAGGCAATACTTTAGAGGTACAGTGACTTTTGGAAGAACTTCTGGGGTATAAAATGTCACCTGCGCAGTGGCCCCGGATCTTGCTTGGCGCAGAGACATGAATTCATTTCCACATGTCAAAGCAAGCCTTGATTTGACTCTAGTGTAAGCACAAAATATGGCTGGCAAGAGCCTGGGGTGGAAAGGGCATGTGGCTAGGAGTTTCATACAATCTCCCCCCTTTGGTGAGACTCCTCTAGAGAAGCTAATTACTTCCAGGCATGCTGTGAAAACAGGTTGGGCTTAAAAACAGGGGTCCTTTGGGCAGGAGTCTTTGTAGGAAATGACGTGGATTGAAAAAAGAGCAGAAAAAAGAGGTATGTGGGTCAGCTCTGCTACTGAGGGTCAAATAGGGTGAGACCTCACAGTACCATCCCCCGCCTGGCCTGTACGGCAAACAGCAGCTGCAGGGGACTGACTGACGGTGGGATTCACCCGGCCCCTGCCCGGCAGCCCCAATCCTTCCTGTTTGCTGCATCTCACCTAGGTCAACAGCGAGTTAGAGTTTTGCAAAGCCACATAGCAAGATACTTCTGCAGTAACAACAGCTTAATTCTATACTTGGTTAGACCTTCAATTTCCACAAACACCTAATTTTTCATTTGGTTTCAGCATGAATCTGGTTGGGACTTGGAATTCAGGGAAGGACCTCTCCTTTGCATACAGAAAGTCCCAGGTTCAATCCCTGGTACTTCCAGTCAAAAGGCCCAGGCAGCAGGTGATGTCAAAGACCTCCTCTGCCTGAGACCCTGGAGAGCCACTGCCCGTCCAAGGGGACAATGTTGATGGTCTGATTCCATTTAAGGGATTCCGTTAAAGGTGTCTTCTGGAAACACTGGTCCTCTCGGAGGAGTAAACCTCAGGTACCAGTCCCGCAGGTTCTATTGTGGTGCAACATCCTTTCATTTCTGATGGAGATGGCACCTTTGGGCTTTGCTCTCCAAGCCCGGCTCCAGCCCCATTTTTATGTCATTTCCAGGGACAGGCTTGAGCTCTGCAAGCGGATGAGGGGGACCTCCCGCCACCTCTCAGCTTCAGGCCTCCCCGTATAGGAGGTGACAGGAACACTCCGAGGTGCTCTGCACGAGAGGAGGGTAGCTGTGAAGGGTCAGACTGGACACCTGCTCAGGTCTCAAGCAAAAGGTGTTTTCTGTCGAAAGCCGAACACAGAGGGGAGGGAAGCCAGGCGCTCAGCTCTTTTGGCCCTGCTGCACCTCAGTGCCCTTCTCCGCCAGCCGGCTCACTTCTCGCATGAGTTAGCCAGGCCTAAAGGAAGTGGCATGCAGGGCCAGAGAGCGGCAGCAGAAGGAGCAGAGAAAGAGAGAGAGAGAGAGGCACGTCTCAGTCAGGATCTGAGTGGGCCCTGCACAAATCCACGTGGATCCCTGCATCAAGGCAAATCCCTGCTGCTCCTCCTGGGAACGGCTGAGGAACTGGCCCACCCCCACGGCCACCCGCTTCCACCCGAAGATGAGCACTTGGGCTCCTGGGACGGGAGGCCCTGCCGGGAGGTGGCTCTGTGACCTGCAAATGTTCCACAAGACAATTAACAGGTTCCCATCTATAAGCCATGCTAAGCGTGCTTGCTGCTTCTGACGTTGTTAAGGGACGCGGTGGTGGTTAGAGTGGGCAGTGCAGGGGTGAGTGCAAGGACTAAACTGCATAATACAGTTGCAGGAAATGGCAGGAAATCTGATCTGTCACATAAAATACAGTTTTGACCTACAGTGAAAGAAGATGGTGTGGTAACCTTGGCAGCAGCCGTGCTCTTTTGTTGGTGCTGATTGTCCCCAAACACCCTTTTTAACTTCAGCCTAGTATTTGTGTTGGAAGTGCAACAAGTGCCCTGGACACACGGGAAAGGAATAAATGAAGTCCCAAAGAGATTAAACTTTTCCCCCTCTAATGGATGTGGCTCCACAGAGTACCAAAGTGGGGTGTGATGAGGGATCACCACCTTAAGTGGCCTGGAGCCTGTGCCATTGGGCTGCACCGGAATACTTCCTGCAACACCTGGTAAAAGCTCACCAGGTGGGTTTTGCAGTGTAGTGCTTGGAGGGCGCAGTGGAATTCAAGCTCAGCAGTGTGGCACATGTCAGAGCCTGTTTTATAATTAATTTCTCCATGACCAAAAACACTTCAGTCACTTCAACACCATAACCATGACAAACCTATTCACAGGCCCTCTTACTCAACCATGTGCCACATTTCAGCAGCTGTGAGTTTCATTCCCTGCACTGATTTGTTGTTTAGAAGGCATGCGAGATGATGAGCATTAAGAAAGGCAATGAGTCTTTCTCTCTCTCCACATCCGATGCATCTGTTTTGTCGTTCTGGCTCATCTAACCAGCCACAGATTTTTTTCTGTGAGTCATTTTACATACTAGGCTAAATATTTGTAATTGGCAATATACAAAAGATTCCCAAATCAGGGTGATAACCAACATTCAGATCAGTTGAAAGGTTAGGAAATGGGCAGTGATCCAGATGTACATTAGTAATAATTTGATTACCTTTTTTTTTAGATTATGGTGGTGGCAGGACACAAATATTGTATCTACATGGCATAGCCACTTAATTAAGCCTTGTGGTTTTCATATCTTTTGAAATGTTATTTTAATAATCCAAAACAATCCAAAATAATCATTAACAATTGTATAAAACAATGAATTTAAATGCTCATTACAAAATTAGCTAAGGATCCCTTTCCAGTTTCCATCCCAGAAAACTGATATTTTTAATTAATTGTTTAGGTAAAATAAACTAGTAAGGAAAAAAAAGTGATTAAAGACAGGAAGAAAGAAAAGAATAAAAGTATGACAAAAATACAGCAATAGAAAAGGGACATAGCACAAAATACAAATTGTATATACTGGAATACCTCCAAGTGAGATGGCAACCAACCCTGTGTAACGTTTCAATGGTATCCATTTGTAAAAGCCGTTGCAATCAAAGGCCCCTAAAATTGTACAATTGTTAATGTCATCAGTGAGATATATAGGAAGATATGGTGATTTCCCCCCCAAAAAAAATTATCTGAAATTTTGAGAGTGTGTTTGCCAGCATGAATATTTTGTTAAACTACTGTCTGTCCTCTAATATCTTAGTGCATTCAATGTGGGAGATACTTCTCTTAGTATTTGACTCCTTGGAAAAGTAAGCTGGGAACTGCATTTCTTAAAACACTGTTAGTAAATGGATGATGTGTTAAAATACTAAAGGCCCCCCACTTTTTGCAGAATGTTAAGGAAGTGACATTAAAGAGCCTCCCATGTGCAAAAAATCTAAAAGCCATATTAGTGCACACGAAGCACAATGCAGATTGGGCCACAGCAAAGGTCTGAAGCGCACACATATTCAGAACAACTAGTTCTTCAGGCAGAAAATGGAAATGAGAGCTGTTGAATGGCACACGGCCATTTAAATGGGTGGAGTTCTTAACAGAATGTTAATCCAAATAAGTGATTCAATGGGTTTTGCAAGTTGATATTATGATGGGAATAGAATTAAATAAGAATTTGGTATTATGAGATTGTAACTTTTAAAAAATGCAGTAAAATGATTTATACTGTGAAACATTGTCTATACTTTCCCCTTAAGTTTTACGGTTTGTTTGTTTTTTAAGAAAGAAAAGTAAAAGATTCCCACAACTTTTGGTACCAATAAGTTGTTGATTAGCAGAGAATACTGAAATCCACTAAATTGTGTGGGACATTCATGCTAACACACACACAGCTTGACCATACTACAATTGCGGGGGGGACCCCAAGCATGCAAATTTGTTAAGCAAAATTTCCACTCCCAAATTAGTAATATTAATATTAAAACAACTTACATTCACTTGAAAAAATTAATGTTGAAAATTTGTAACTGTTTTTGTAGGCTGCAACCTTAAAAAACGCCTCCCTTAGAATAAGCCCCATTACATAAAACAGGACTTCCTTCTGAGTGGGCTTGTTTAGGATTGCTCCCCAAGCCTGTAATCCTGGGCACACTCATCTGGAAGGAAGATCTGCACCTAAATTCAAATTACTTACTTCCAATTTGGGCTACACAAATAAACTGAAATCACAAGACCATTTTTCCTCTGCAATACACTGATTTTTCAACTTCCAAAACAAGATTGATTTGGATACAAGACACTCATGCATTACCTTGCTTTGAGATAGCTCAAACAGCAACTGTGCGTTGGGGGAAAAGTCTCATCTGGTTTGGTGAATCCCTTCACTTGGGTGCAGGATAAGGCAACTTCCTATGCTAAATATTATAGCAGGGTTTGATTTCTAGCCAGCTAAGATCCTCAACTTGCACAGGGCAGGTAAAGGGGCAAGTGACTCCTGTTATCCAAGATGAAAGCAAAGGATAGGCCTATTCACACATCTCTGTCTGGCAAGCACACTGCTGTACCCAAATGTGCCCCCAGGTTCTTGGAGTACAAATGCTACTTAGTAGCAAACAGATCTGTACCATTTCCTAATTTACATTTATGTATTTATTTATTTATTACACTATTTCAGAGGAACGATAGATATGAAAGTGACTTCCAGGCACACTTGCCCAAATAAGATTTCTCACCTGCTAAAGGTTATATGAGAGAGATCTCACAGCTTTGCTTAAATACGACACATGGAGCTGAAAAGAGAGTTTGACAGTGAAATCCTAAACAGAGTTATACCCTTCTAAGGCAATTGACTACAGAGGACTTAAAAGGGGGCAACTCCGCTTAGGATTGTACTGTTGGTGTGCCATGCAGCCTGGTGAGTCACTGAACGTCTTTACAGAAGTAAATAGACAGCACAACCTCTGTCAAATGGACACCTCTCAGTAGCTCATATTCATCTGAAATAAGGGAGAATGATACCTGTCCAGTATCTCGCAAAAGACCTAGTGAGGAGGTCTGGCTGAGTGAGGCCTTATTGCGCTTGAAAGACAAGAGGAACACTTTGCTGTTGCTCTTAGAGATGTGAGGCTTTCGTTACATGGGATCCATTGGGGGGGACGTGTGGGGTGGGGAGAGCCACACAAAGAGGTTCAATTTAGTGACAGGCAGGGCGCTGGAGTGGGCCACTCTGAAAGGCCTACTAGTAAGTGGAGCAGATGATACAACTCACTTGGCAGAGAAACAGTAAACAAAGAGGGCTACTTACGGCAATTCCATGCCCAAAGCCAGAGCCAGGCTGGGGACTGGCAGCACTTATGTAGTTACCAACACCGGAGTCTTGACTGGCTGTGCCGTAGAGATCTGCGACTGGCCCCGGGCTGTTTGCCCCTGGAAATCCTCCTGGCCGGGCTGGGTTGGAGCCTGCCGGGGAAGCGGGTGCGCCAAAATTCGGTTGAGCACTGTAGCTATTCAAGACTGGTGTGCAGAGAATAAAGCTGGGTATGAGGCCAGACGCCTGGCATGCACCGTTATTACAAAGCCAAACACTCAGAAAAACAGCCTAGGCCCAACTTCTAACACTTAACCAAGGCCATGCGATAGGAGAGCAAGTACTTAAGAATAGTCAGCCCATACTGCTAAGAAGCTGGGAGCTCCAAATATATAGAAATACGTATAAAGAGAGGGGAAAGAAAATCATTCAACACACTACTGCAACCAGAAACTGTCGGTGCTCATTTTCACCAAATTACCACAAAATATGTATTTTCCAACATCTGATTTGATGCTCATGCAGTAGTAAACGAGTTTTCTAGATCTGGGCACGTCGAGACAGCATTCACATCCCATGCAAACTACAAAGGAACTAGTTTTAGACTACACATTGTGTTAATATTGATATTAAATGTTGACAGCAAATAAAGCAAATCACAGCTAGGAAAACCGTTTTTGGATCCACTGAAAACTTTGGGATTAAAAAAAACCCACCCAAGCCGGGACCCCTCTGCCCTGTGAGCTCTCAAGACACGTGAAGATTTGGAGGTTTGAAATGTTTTCTTTAAATAAAAGCAAACAAACAAATGATATGCAATGGAACATTTGGAGTGTTTTGTTTCAACGGAGGGACCTTTAGTTCAAAGAATGAGTTCCTGCTTCTGTCTACAAAACTATATTTGGGACATTACCAAAAGGAAGGAACTGCTAGAAACAAAAAACCCCCCAAACATTTCTATAAGGAGGAATTCCATGAAATTCAGTTATTTCCTGCCAGTTCCTAAAGCTTGAAGTCCATAAGCAGTTTTTCTTACAACAATTTGGTAGAGGTAAGGTGAAGCAGATCTGGAGGAAGACTCAATGAGAAACTCTTTGCTACAAAAACGGAGAAGTTGCCTGCTTTGTGCTTTGGGGCTCCCGCCCTCCCAATTTTCTCCTGGCAATATCAAGAGTCAAGACACTGGTGATTTCCCCCCTGCAGATCATTCCTGATCTTTCAAAGTCTATTGCTTAATTACATTGAACAAGATGTTCTCCAATAGCTGAGAGTGCAGCTTCAGTGCAAGGAGTCGTGTTCTACCAAGGCTGTTGTTATGAAATCATCTATAACTGATCATTGGTCTGTCTGCAATGCCTAGAGATGTTTGATTTGTAAAGTAATGGTTGGTGGTCTTTGAAACCTACTAAAAAGGAAGCAGAAGTAAATGCTGAAAATCGAAGGGACCTGTTCCCTCACACCAGAGCGCTGCTCCACTGGTTACATAGACAACAGAAATGGAAGTCTGCAGAGTCGTGCCCAACCTTTCTAAAGCTTTGAATTTTGGCCACTAAAACTGCAAGCTTGCAGGTTTCCCCCAGAGGTCAATGCAGCCCGCAGGTACAGTCACAATTCCTGCCTTTCTTTTCTATGCTTGCCAAAGAATGCTGTTTGTGAGTTATGTACCCATGGCATTTCCTATTAGCTTTCTATCTGCATTTTGCAAGACACACATCTGCACTTCAAGCAGATTTCTTTGTTCTAAGAAAACAGGAGCCCTAGATAACAACATGGCCTAGAAAACCGTGAGCCTCCCACAATGCCCAGCACATCCAGTCTTCTATGCACTGGCATTCTAAAAAAATGAGAATACATTTTGTACTTTGGGATTCCCCCCCCCCCATCTTACATTTGGTACACTTTGAGCAATGTAGCTCTGGGAAGCCTTAAGATAATGGCTTGCCAAGTCCATATATGTGCACCCACCAGGGTGTCCCATTTGGGCGACAAAAAACAGAATGTGGGAATTTAGGGTGACTGTCTTACTGCTGTGTGTTGTCAACCATAGTTAAATATTTCAAAAGTACCGACAAGCTCACACAACATGGTGTACTGGTTGTTCTAGGAGAGGGATTGTGATTTATGAGGAAAGGGTGCAGTGGCATTACTCTTATCAGGCCACAGGCAAGGAGAGCAGGGTCAGCACTGGTAAGAAATAAGACCCGAGTAACTCCCATGTGCTGCACTACATTGGAAAACAAAGCACTTAAAAATATTAAAGATTAAATGTCAAGCTAACATTTGGAGTTCTCACTCATGGAGAAAAACACCCAGCTGAGATATTCGGAGGGCCCTGATTAACTTGCAAGAGAGGACTTTCCCCCCATTCAGCAAAGTGGAATCAGGCCTCGCCATCAGCTCACCAGAACACTTTGCTTGCCCAGGCGAATAAACACCCGGTCCTCTGCAATGCGCTTCACACAGGAGCAGCTTTAAATCACACCCTGTGGAGGTTGCCTCTGTGCAAGGGAGAGGCGGCCGCCCTGATAACGGGAGGCTTCACGGCATGATGGGGAGCTCCAAAGGCAGCGCAAAATAGCTGCCACAGGAAGGCTCTTGATGGGAGGTGCCTGTGCTGAGCTGAATGTGAGTTGACCCTGTGGAATTTTAACTTTGTCTGCTTGTAAATATGTTTCAAATGTTTTAATGTTTCAAATATCTTTTAATTGTGAAGGCCACTGGCCATGAAGAATAAACTTGCACTTGCTTCTGGATAGGAGGCTGGATGGAGGAGTCTTTTTCTCAACAAGCTGGCAACTTCTTTACTGGCTACCAAAGCCAGAGCTGTGCCTATGTTTGGACATCAGCAGAATTTAATTCTTCAGTCTTGACAACACATTACCAAATGTTTAAATTAGTCTACTGATGGTACCCAACACCAAAATCTTTATCGTATACCTCGCCACAGCCGAGTCCAGGTTGTTGGAAAAACTGTGGGTCAGTTGGAACTTATGTCCATTGTTGGTTGACTTGCCCAGTGTTGGTACCTTTTTGGCAAGCGATTTTGGAGAGAGTGACCACAATGACGGGGATGACACCAGAATTTACTCTGGAGTGCCTTCTATTAGGAGCAAATTGGAATAAAGATCAACCTTAATGGATAAGTAATGTTATTGTGATATTTTTATCAGCTGCCAAACTAGCCATAGCTGCTTGTTGGAAAATTTCCATTGCCCCTACAGATGTGGTATACACGACTATGGAGTCATTATGTTCTAGCTAGGCTTACTTTTAATGTGAATCAGATGACATCAACTAGAGCCCTCTTAGAGTTTAAGAAAATTTGGTCACCAGGTTTAACTTATCTTTCTAATCAGAAGGAAATTCCAAAGGAATTATATCATTCTTATGTTTAACATATGTCGATGTATATTCTATAGTTAAATGATGTATTTTAAACCTATATTTACTATTTTTATGTCCATAATCTTAGTAAGATCTGTATGAACCCTTTTATGGTTGATGAGGTATTGATTTTCTCTCTCTTCTATTTTGTATTTTTTGTTAAAATTGAATACATTAAAAAAGAAGAAGAAGAAGAAGCCTATGTTGTCTGCTGAGAAGACCAAACTCCACTAACTCCACCAAGGCCTGCTGATGGGGATGCAGAGTCCCGAAGGGGAGGTCACAGGTCCAGGCAGCTCAGACACAGATTCTGCAAGCAGTGTTCCTGTTAGCAGCTCAGCCTCTACAGGTGTGCCAAGGATTTCTACCAGACCAGCAGACGATGCGACCAGACCCACTTTGAGTGACATGGTCAGAATGGCCTCTGTTGCCTTCATCATCCTCCCAGCTCTGAGGCCTTAAATTGGTCTCCGCTGGAGAAGGGCATCCTCTCTGCCAGAGGAGTTCCGGGAGGTGTCTGGAAGGGAAATCGTTTTAACGGTAAGAGCACTGCTGGCAAACCCAGCTGCCTCAAGAAAGGGTGTCAGATCTAGCAGGATCAAGGGTGATTTCTTAAAATTTGGCCTGTTCATTCTTCTTTTAGAAAAAGGGTAGCCTGAAAGCTTAGGCCGCAAACATGTCAGGAACAGAAATCAGGGCCAGCCAGGGGGCCTTTCTGTTCCGATAGAACTGTGTCTCAGATAGTTGTTTTAACTGCTGTGCGGCTGCTTTCAGGGGGTGTTTTATTGTAAACGGCCTTCCACAAACTTTTTTAGAATGGTATCAGGTATGTTTTAAAAAAGAAACGAGCAAATGGCTGAAGTGATGGAGGCAATACTTGGGGCCCAGTGAAGCAAAGCATAACCCTGAGAGGTGTATCCTGTGAGCCCGGGGGGCGGGGGGTAGGGCGGGGTGGAGCTGCAGAGGATGCAGTGGCAGAACTCCCCCAAAGCACGCTTTTAATGAGTGTTTTTCTTGAAACAAGACCACACGCGTACAACTGTAGTCATGCAATCAATTGGCGACTAGCACAAGCATGGGAGGTCCCAAGATTTGTGCAGTGCTTGTGCTAGATCTTTCTCTCCTGTCCGTGGAAGGGGTCCTCCTGTGAGCAGGAGGGCACCTTTCGTTTCAGGCCCATCGTGTGGATCTGACCTGCTCCCCTGCCAAGAGGTAGGTGAAGTGACCCTAAGCACGGCCAACAGGCTGAGAGAGGAATTTTTAAAGAGGACAGATGTTACTCTAGGTGTAGTGTAGGATAACGATGTAGCAATTATGCTGGTGTGAAACACTTTTGCCCTGACCTGGATAGCCCAGGCTAGCCGGATCTGGTCAGAACTTGGAAGCAAAGCAGGGTTGGCCCTGGCAAGTAGTTGGATGGGAGACCTCTGAGGAAGACCAGGGTTGCTGTGCAGAGGCAGGGACATGGCAAACCACCTCTGTACGTCTCTCGCCTTGAAAACCTTCTGGGGTTGCCACCAGTAAGCTGTGATTTGACGGCAAAACAACAACAAACAGAACACTTTTACCCTGGAGCCAATACAGCAAAATGTAACGTGTGTATTATGGCAGGGATTCTGACTCATCCCTGTAGTACAGATGTTGAAAAATCCTCTCTCATACAACAGAATGGCAGGGCTTGTACATATAGGCTTTAGTTGTAAAGTCAAAACAAATATTTTGTGGACACTGACTATACCATGTCAAGATCATTTCCCGTTGTCCAGGCAATGCCTGGCAGGGAAACAGCACAGCACAAAAGCATGGCCTGTGGGAAATTATC